GGAACTTTAATACAGACTTTAGATAGCCACTGCTACCACCCTTTTGAAAAGTTGAATTGATCTTTTCGGCCCACCACTAATATACAGCTTGAAGATATATAATTGATAATTCAATCTACCCTATTACTAAGACCAGGTGCACACCAAAGCAGTACAAAACAAAGGGTTATTACAGTGGGTATTTAACGGTCATGGCAGTTATTTTCACTATGTTAGTGTGCACTAGGAAAAATAGTAAAATATAATATTAACGGTATGCACTTGTATACATTGTCAGCTGGGGACATGAACTCGTTTTAGATGACAAGAGTAAATCTCAAAATAGCATTTTTTTAAAGAATGAATTTAAACAATATTTAGGTACAGTAGATATTTACGGCTTAATTATGAGACTGAATCATAAAATTTTATTATTTTCAATAAACACATCTTTATAAAAACTAGTTTTTACTTTCAATACTAAAACGACAAGAAGCAAAAATAATAAAAATGATGATCATAAATATTTTGGTATGACCATTTATTTGGGCGGTGTTTGGGAGAAAGAGTTCAAAGTCTAAAATCGTAGTTTTTCAATAGTTTAAAAACGTAATAAATGATACCCAATCCAAAAATATTCATGTCTTATATTGAATATAATTATTTTAAGTTATAATTATTGCAAGTTTAAATTGTTTTTAATTAAAAAAGTAATTTCTTATTTTTTACATGGACTTATGTCCAATGGCACTTAAATTCTGAAAATTTGCATTTGACTTGTGCCTTTGTTCACTAAAAATATTATAACGTTTCTATCATAATATCTGATACAATATTATTGTTAATAATTAATGAACAAGAAACAAAAAACAAATTTATTCTTTTTTATATATTTATTATAACATTCCTTTTTATTATAATATAATACATTATTAATAAACTCAACAACAGGTTTAAACTTTTTTTTAAGTTTGTAACATAAAAACATATAAATAATTATATTAAACTTTAAAATTTAAAATTTAAATAACACACTTGGTACTTAATATTATATAATAGATAAAATTACACTTATATGAAACAAAAACCAACATAAATAAATTTTGAGWTTTGCTTGTCATAGTGACGTAGGTACTTACAATTTGTTAGTAAAATATATAACTGAATAAGTGAAGATCATGAAAATAAATGAAACATAAGTTAATATTATTATAAACGTAGGTACGAAAGTTTAAAAACAAAGTTTGTGTGATTTGTGCCCTTATGCACAAACAATATATTATAAAAATAACTTATAGGTAGTCCGTTTATCACATAACAGTGAAAACAGGTTATTGAACCTAGGCCGTTTCTCACTACACAAATTTTTTTTGTTATGACTTGAATCAAAACGCACATGAAAATTAATTGATAACAAATTCCGTAACAAATGCAGATCATGGATGCATTACAGTTTGACCAATCTATGCGGCACCAAATTTCCTACAAAATCAACTACTTACATCAAAATGACCAAAAATGGACTTGAACTCTTCTTCAAAACACCAGCAATTTAAATTTTTGAAAAATATTCAAAATCTCAAATGTCCACAAATAACTCAAAACGAAGCAAAATATTTTTTAAATGTTATCCTTATCATGAATAGAAAATTGTAAAATTAACATTTGAAGAATATTTCTACTGTTAAGTATCTACTTTTACTAGTTTTTGAATAACAASAAAATAAAAATTTTGAGAGAATTAGTTGATTTATCGGTAAATATCAAATGTTAACAAATGATTAACTTTCATTACTCCGTTAAGAATCTAAAATGTTTTTTTAATTCATTTGTGAAATACCAGTAATAAAGTTATTTACTAAACAATCAAATGACACTAGATCATGATTCATGATGTAAATTAGATTATTTATCACCACTTCAATGTTTTTGAACAACGTTAAAATTTGAAAGCAGTCTACAGAATAAGCCAATAAATTACATACCTATAATTTTCAAATTCAAGGCCCAATATTATATAAAATATAAAATATAAAATANAAATTTACCTTGTGTAGTTTTAATGCTAGGAGTTAATGGTAATAATTTTCCAGATCTAGTCCTTGATGTACCACCAGGAGTTTGTAATAAAGAAGCAATAGTAGTGGCAGTCCTATTAGCTGGTATAGTATTACGAGATCTAAGAWKACTYGTTAATAATGGTGCGGATGGCGTATTCCATTTGATTGGCTGCTATAACATTGACATAAATGATTTTGAATATAATAAACCAAATTTTTATTTAAATGCTAAAATCACTGATGAGATATTTAAGTTATTTATTCATAAAATGAAATAAATAACAATTTTCCAGAAAATCACTTTTTTAATAACATTCAGTGGCTTTAGACAGATCTTTACTTTTTCAATGAATAAAGATCACATAATGATAGTTTATTGTTTATGGCAGTTCAAACATATTTAGTTTACATATGAATACTAAATATTGAGTGCTAAAAGTCCGTAWTTTTTTTTACTAGGTGGTCACTTCATAAATAATTGATTAATTAAATGTATGTATGAATATTTTTATACCTCTTCTATTAACCCAGAACTTGAATTTTCAGAAGCTAGACTAGCATTTTGCCTAGTCATAAGTTGATCCATATATTGTTTTCCTTCAATTTCATTCCTGTAAAAAAAAAATGTAAAAAATAAGTATATAATATACCAACTGTTTACCATGAAACAAATAATTTCAACCTTCTTGCTTGTGAATAAAGACTGACAACTTCATTTCTGGACAAATTTCCTTGCTTCACACGGTTCAAAATACTGAATAAATTACAATACTTTGATTTTAAAGTATCTTTTGATTTATTAGCTTCTCGTATGTAATCTTGTACGATAACAAAAATATAATTTTAAACATATTTCATTACATTTCCATTCAATTCATTTTAACTATGGTATTATATTGATATTTATTTACCATTTTTTAAACCTTCAGCAATATGTTGCAGCATATCAATAAGGGGTAATGACTTTGCTTCCTTGCTAAGATTAGATACAAGGATTTTAAACTGGCGCTCACAGCTTTTAGGTGTATACCATTCTCGAGGTCTGTACGGTTCTCCAGCATTTCTAACAACTTGAGCAACTGATTTCCTAGAAACAATAATATTAATGAAACTTAAAAAAATTCTATTAATTATAAATACCTACTATTTAATAAATTTTAATTTGTATTTGAAAAAATTTCAAAAATATCTTGTGACGTTTTACAAAAATCGAAAATCAATATTTACCAATCATGAGTCCCATAATGACATGCAGCTGTAATTAACCAAAATTTTTCTCTAGATGTCCATGTAACTGCTTCTGTTAATGGCTTTCTTTCTATCCATCTATAAATTGTACCTAAAACAAAATCCAATATTTATATCATCAGMAATGCACAAATAGTCAAATAAAAAAGGGGTATTASGTAAAGAACTTAATTATAATAATTTATGTGCTTTATGTGATTTTTCAATAATTTGAACAGTGCTTATAAATTTTTTAGGAAGTTTTTGGATATTAAGTATAAAAAATTTTTTTTTTTTTTGAATATTTATTTATTACTAAGTTAGGTATAATGTGAAAAAAATTGATCGAATTGAGGYGGAACTTTAATACAGACTTTAGATAGCCACTGCTACCACCCTTTTGAAAAGTTGAATTGATCTTTTCGGCCCACCACTAATATACAGCTTGAAGATATATAATTGATAATTCAATCTACCCTATTACTAAGACCAGGTGCACACCAAAGCAGTACAAAACAAAGGGTTATTACAGTGGGTATTTAACGGTCATGGCAGTTATTTTCACTATGTTAGTGTGCACTAGGAAAAATAGTAAAATATAATATTAACGGTATGCACTTGTATACATTGTCAGCTGGGGACATGAACTCGTTTTAGATGACAAGAGTAAATCTCAAAATAGCATTTTTTTAAAGAATGAATTTAAACAATATTTAGGTACAGTAGATATTTACGGCTTAATTATGAGACTGAATCATAAAATTTTATTATTTTCAATAAACACATCTTTATAAAAACTAGTTTTTACTTTCAATACTAAAACGACAAGAAGCAAAAATAATAAAAATGATGATCATAAATATTTTGGTATGACCATTTATTTGGGCGGTGTTTGGGAGAAAGAGTTCAAAGTCTAAAATCGTAGTTTTTCAATAGTTTAAAAACGTAATAAATGATACCCAATCCAAAAATATTCATGTCTTATATTGAATATAATTATTTTAAGTTATAATTATTGCAAGTTTAAATTGTTTTTAATTAAAAAAGTAATTTCTTATTTTTTACATGGACTTATGTCCAATGGCACTTAAATTCTGAAAATTTGCATTTGACTTGTGCCTTTGTTCACTAAAAAT